AAAAAAAAAAAAAAATTTAAAAATTTGAAAATTGAAGAAAAAATATGGTCAAACTGGAGGGAAAATGCCGATAGTTTCGAGTTCGTTATTTTGACGAGCGCCTGATTTCACCACGATGCCTCACATTATAGGCTTAACGCTCCTATCAACACTGTTTGGTCATTTAAGAAGAGGCAGGACTTCCGAGTTTAACGTCCATCCCCGAGTTTTTTATCGACTTGTGTGTAACACCACGGACATTCTTCGTTAAAATTTCTGATGCACGTCATAAACGAACGTACGGTCTCGAAATGTGCTCACTTTGGTGGCAATATAAGCCGCCGTTTGCGCAAATCCAGTATCGCATCAATTTGCCACCGAAACTAAAGCTGAGAGATTTTGATCGTGTCAGAGCTAACTAAGGCATGGCTGCAGGATGGAGTTGGAGCCCAAAAAGTTGTCAGAAGGCTTGCAGTGTCACACTCTGTCGTAGTACACTTGAGGCAGCGCCACCAATCCACTGGATCAGTCCTAGAACGCCCACGTGCAGCTCAACCCAAGAAGACCACTCAGAGTGTTTGCAAGTGGTCCTCCACTTATGTTGAAGTCTACTGTTTTTTTTAAGAACTTGGCTGTGCGGCACTTTGCGAGCGACCAAAGTTCGGTTGTATCCATAGATTTACACTATAGGCAGAGGCACTAGATACAGTACGCCCCTCTCTCGCCTTGCTGTGCGATGGCTACATTCGACAGCTTTTGGCAAGCTGTATGAAGGGGTTCATGCTAAAGCAATAGGCTAGGCATGTTTTCTCTCTCATAAAGAACAGGCGAGGCTTGGCCCTTGTTTGTTGTTTTTTGTTTTCTTAACGTGGCGCCGTCGGTAGCCTAGGCTACCGGACTCGTAATCGTGAGATTGCAGGTTCGGGGGTTTGAGCGTCGGCTCGGTCCGACGTTGTGTCCTTGGGAAAGACACTTTGCAGGAATTTCCCATTTGGCTCGGTCCTTTCGGAGACAGGCGTTAAACTAGGAGGTCCCACCTCTTAAACAACCTAATAGTGTTGATAGGGGCGCTAAACCCATACAATTTCACCATTTTTTAAAACAAACAAACAAAAATAACAACAAAACAACGTATTTCTTCTTCAGCACCCTATCTACGAGATGGTTTATTTCTTATTTACAGAATCATACATATGGCCG